CCTATTAATTTACAAATGCAAATGAGCCATGATTACCCAGGCTTTTTGGATTTAATGGAGTGCTCGTTATTCGTTTCAGGGTGGAAACAAAATTGTGGATCGTGCTTCCACTGCTGGTGGTGGTCCCCAACGTTGGGGATTATGTGTTTCTGAAGGTATATCGAGGAACCATTCATCGACGTCAATGAATCTAGGGGTGATGAGACGAGAATCGGTGAGTTTTTCAACATTTTAACATATTTCGCAATTTAAGATGTTTCGTCCGCATTTCGCCTGAAGGGGGCAACCTTTCTGGCGATAATAATAATAAAAATCATAATAACGGGCAAAATGATGATAAAACAACTCTCTAAGCAGAAAGTTAATTGGATGATTGATCGGAATGACCATCCACTAATATTGGGCATGCATTTCCAGCACATACCACAACCGACCGCATATTGATTGCGATACCCCGAGGTTTTTTCATTCAGAAAATTACTACGTACACTCACCGGATAATTTACTCGATCCATATCCGGGAGTTTACCAGTGGGTTCATATCGACCCGGGATTAATTCAATATTTAACGCATCGTTCGCTGCGTAACAGTGTTATGCCTCTGCAACGATGAATTCTGATACATCTGATAATATCGAAGTAAATATCATTGTGCTTCTCGTAGCTAGAGTGGGTATTGTACAGCTATCACCAAAATTGTCTCGCGGTTTTGGATTATACTCACCATTATTAATTTCATTAATTCATGGGATGATGAATTTTATAAATTTTTAATCTTGCTGAAAGAAGCGTAGTTGACGTAGTGTAATCAGCGATTACGGAGAGGTTGGTGAGTGGTAGAACTTTCCTGATGACGTTTTTCTGATTGAACCTGATCAGGATCAGCCGATTCCGATGCAGAAACCTGATCAGGGACTGAAAAAAAGCATAAGATCAGGAATTGAAGCTTTTTTGGGCGGTTATTAACTAGACCAGATGCTCGGATTTTGATCTTTCTTCAATCAAAATGACTCCAGACTGATGAGGAATCAAGTATAATAAATCTACACCTGATGCGAGCTTCATTTGAGCACCCATTTCAGCTTTAGTGTGGAAATTTAGCTGTCTGAACATCAGGTAGAGACTTGACACTGATGAGGATTTCCTGATAGGCATTCGGTCAGGTTCTGAAGAGAGTATTTGGACCCAATGCAGTTCAATCAGTTCAATGCAGTTCGATGGGATCCTATGCTAGGGTCCAAACAAACCTTTCATTTCTGATTTCAAATGGATCAACATTACGATCTCCTCTGCCAGTAATGCACATTCAGCACGAGTGTTCCCTATTGCTACTTGCCTCCTTCTCTAACGGCATTGCCTCGTGCTCATTCATGCAGGTGACGGTACACTCACCATGAAACGACAGCATCCTAAACTAAGACATAAAACCCACTCATAAGCACTATTTTTTTTCAATCAACCCTCACGTTTCGTGTCACCAGAAATGTGATTTTGATTACACACTGTGTACAAAATATTCCGCATACACCTGCATCGAAACTGTCCCCGGAAAATGGTTGACTAAAATTATCCCCACGACAGTGACGAGTATTTACGTTCTTCCCCCTGAACCCATCATTTTCTCGTCAATGCAAGCGCGAAAATTCCATTTCACGGTTTTACCGTTTACCCGACTTTTTAGCTCCAAGAATTACCATGAAAGGTGACGAAATTACTCGCTCACAGGTCAAAATATAATGCAGAGATGTTGAAGGAGAAGGAATGAAGTACCGTATATAAATTTTATTCTGAATCCACTGATGTTGGGAATACTCCATTACAAGGAGGGTTTGTATGTGGGGAGCATCAGTCAGCATCACTTGTCATCGTCTGAAAGATGAATGGTTGGACTATACACTCACTGGACGAGTGAGATCCCGGTGGAGTTGAGCGTCGGAGTGTAAACCTCATCCCCTCCTGTTAACCTGTCTTCATACTGCTGTTTCTTCCTTTTTCTCAGTTCTTCGAGTAACTATTTGTAAATTTCTCCGAGCAAGATTCAGCTGAGTAATTACTCGCCATTAATAACTGGACCTGGGGAGGAGGGATCTATGAACGCGAGACAAATGAACGCCCACAAAATGAATATTGGCTAGGGTGTCAAGTGGACGGAAACAAAAGAATGAAGATGACACCCTATTCGCTAGCCATGACATTGCCAAAAAATAATAAAAGCCCATGGGCACAAGCCAGTGTCTAACTGAGAGACCTTATTTCTCCCCAATGTCTTTTTTCCCGTATTAAGTCTGTCATCCATGAACATCATCTACTTACTCCGTATTCTATCATGGCTTCGCAGCTAGTCTATATATGTTGTTGACCTAAATGCTGCAATGGAATTCCATGCTCGTTCACGTATCTTCTTCGGGGGTGCGCAGGGGTACATGCATCTATAAGTGCGGGTGAATGAACGAGTTGAGGTATCGAAGAATATTGTTAGCTGTCTCTCAACGAGGCTATCTATGGAGGTTATTACAACCCCGTCTATGATAGGTGGAAGTACTGGAATATTTCAAGGATCCTCATTGTTTACTTAATCCCTGCGCTTTCCTTCAATTTGCGCTGGCTCAAGCATTCATTATGTAGTAATGGAGTTTAAATCTTCTTGGTTTCAACTGGGAACCATGTATGACCGAATAGATGAGGATATTAGAACAACGGAACAAGGCCCGGGTGCGTTGGGAATAACAGACAGGATTTGTGATGGGTGTAGAGAGACGAGGAAGTATAATTCATGACTCTTATACCATCGAGCTTTATAGGTGCGCAACATGGAGATTAGCGAGGAGAAATTCAGCTGAGGTGCTCTGACTGGGGATCAGGTAGACATTTGAAGCTTTTTTGACTCGAGATGAAGGGGTTCCTTTCGTAACTTGTCATCTACTAATTTCCACTCGACCAATTGCTTCAGGTAAAAGTGTTAATAAAAAATACGAGTTTCATCTGTTCTCCAAATCTCCCATGAGCTCACGCATACTGAACTCCTCACCTCTGATCAATCCATCTCGACATGAGCTTGTTCCTCTTCTTTTTCAGTCTTTACCTTCGATTCTTCTCGAATCAAATGCTTTCTTCCACCCTCACCTTCCCTATCTGTCTCACCTACATTCGAAACCATCTATTGTGCTCGTGATTCGTAACATTCTTCCCGGAGAATCAAGACACGGCGCTCTGGTTTTTCTCTCGAACGAACCCATAAAGGTGTTATTCAAGGAGGGGTCATATTGTGAGCCTGTGTACCCTTATATAGAGCTATATACTTTGTGACGGTATATAACCTAACTGCTTTTACTTCATCCCGAATTTGAACTCCCCCTTCAATCGAATGTGAAATGGCAATTCCTGAAACTCAAGGAAAGCACGACATTTAGGCCAATCGAATCGAATCTATCAGTGAGTCAGGAATGTTGCATTTGGCGAAACGATGCAGTTTAGCGGTGGTTCGAGTGAAAGCAAAAATTGTAGAGAAATTCACGTTCTGATTTAGTTAAGCAGAAGCGATCGAATCATTCTCAAATCTCTTATACCATATTTTGAGTGATCCTGAACAATCTTTGAGTATTTTGTGTCGTCTTTTGAGTCATTATTTTTTTATACCAAGAATTCTACTCTTCCTATCAATATATTGAAATAGGCTATAATTTAATGCGTGAGAATTCACAAATCTCGAGGCAACTGTGACGTTCGGTACAATCAAATCGAATCCTCGAGTGAGTTAGAAACATTATTCCCGGTGAAACGATGCATTGTAAAGGGGTTCGAATGAAAGTGGAAACGCCAAAGGACTTCACTGTTCAATTTCGTCGAGTACAAGCGATCGGATAATTCTCAAATTGGTTATTCGAATCCTAGAGTGATCTCGAGTATTCTCGAGCATTTTGCGAGTACTTTTGAGTCGTCCTTTGTGCGACTACCTACAAGCCTAGAAATCCGTTATTTATATTGAATGATAATCCGTGTTCATTTCACGAGAAACTTATTGAAGGCTTGCGATTCGTGAAGCCCAAGGCAAGCACACCATTTGAGCCAATCCAATCGAATCTCGAGGACAGTCCACAACGTTTTTATCCGCTGAAACGATGAATTTTAGCGGTGAAAGCAAAAAGGCGAAGGAATTTACGATTTAATTTTGTTAAGTAGAGCCCATCAAATCTTTCTCAAATCGGTTATTCGAATCCTTGAGTGATCTTGAGTATTGTCGAGCATTCTTTGAGTAATTCAAGTAATCTCCGATGTGACTACAGAAGCCATTACAAATTTTTTATGCCTATGAACCCGGTAATTCAATGAATATATATTGCAATGTACTGCGTATTTATTCCATCAGAAGCCCTGGAATAGATTGCAATTTAACGCTTGCCGGGTCTTGAAGGTTCGGCTGCTCATGTAAAACGAGAAATCCAAGGGGCAGAATATGCTCAGTACATAAGAGCTGTATTCCATGCGCATCCAGTTGAATAGAAACCTCGAGGTGCCCAACATTTGATAGTCCCCCGTAAATGTGTGTGCATACACTTGAACTTCAACCGTAGAATCCACAAGTATGTATGTATAATATTCACAGAGACCACCGATATCAAACACTGATACCATTAATAAACTGGGAGATCGCCAATGAGCTTTGTTGAGTGTGTGGTCTAGAATGAGATGGAAGAGACAGGTAAACGGAGGATATTGGTGGGAACAAAGTTTATTTTGAATCAGCTTGAGAGCTCTTGCTGAGGGGTTAGATTGTGGACCAGTGTGTGTTACCATTTCACATCTGTATATTCGCGTTTATTCTCCTCGCCCCTTTTGGTCTACCTTCGGTGTCTCTTCAAAACTGACACAAAATGGTGTTGCTTTGAGTTAATTCCAAGATATTAATGAGGACGATACGGTAACTTCGGGGAAATTAGTGCTGATAAAATCGTTACTCGGTCTTGGTTTCCATCGATAAGTTTATTTCTTTTATACACAACAATAAATATCGACCATAACAGAAGTCGTTTTCTTCGGTTCATCTTGTTTTTTACCTTTATCAGCTTAAAAATGTTCTAATATATATGCGTTGCTCATCGAAACAAGAAATACATGTCGAAGAGATATTTTTGAATCACCACGAGATGAGTCTCTCAGTGCCTATACGTTACTTCTTTTACGTACGTGTGTTTGTAACTCCCTTGCGCGTCTTTATCCCCCTTTGAATCTCTGGCAGCGTTCCGCATTCTCGAACAACGCAAATACGTGCAAATACTCCGAGGGGGGGAAAAGAACGTGAATGGGGCGTTGAGTGGTTTCAATTTGAAGGAAAGTTGGACTTTTTTCTTTTTTCCTTTACATGCTCCTCACTTTTAGACAAAATTGCCAAACAGATGCTGAACTATTATTACGTTTTCTGATTCACTGGAAAAATTGAACACACGTGCCGCGAAGACTCAGTGGTTCACATTCGCTCGATAAGGTTTTTCACCCATTTTAATTGGATCATCGGTTTTTTTTTTCATTTTTCGTAGTGGGATTGGGTTAAAAAATTTCGGCTTTTTGGTTTCACGTAAAATTATCTCTGGAGGAGTACACAGCGGTTGGTATTATCCGAGAATGCTTCCGAAATAATGTTAGTTTATTATTCAACTTTGAGTATTGTAATTGGCATTTCAGTTTAATTGAATTTGGTAATTTCTTGACACTCTTCAATAAAGAAACCGAGGGGATGTTCACATTCGTAATCATTTGAGATCCTTCAGATGGATGTGCTGACATTTCTCGTGATGAATAGATTCATTTTATCATGTTTGAAACTTAATTGATTTTTGGGTCCTTCATCTAAACTTTGTAAACTTCATTTTGATTTCAATAGGATTTTTCATCATTATGATAACGAATTTGAACAACTCCTCGGGCGAAACACATTTTGGTGAACATATTTGAGGACTGATCAAGCTTCATTCATCCTCTAACATAATATCAAAGTTGAAAGGATATCGATCTATTCCGTATTTTTCAATGGATGGCCCTGTAATATTGCCCAACATCAAATTCTTGGCTATAGTTCTAGCCAAGACTGTGACATTCTATTGACGGACAACAACCTCATCAGTACTTTATCGATCAAATTCCCTAGGAATAGTTTCAATACTTCATCCAGCAAGTTTCTATCGTGTAATTTTGACATTCTCTGTTAACAATTGCGATAAAGAAAACAGTCTTCATAACGCCATTAAGCTCAGATAAATTAATGAGGATAATCAATGGCGATGGTACCTTAACGAAGCAAAAAATAAAGAATAGGATTTGTTTTTTCTATAAAACTCTTGTACATGGCCTCACGTCTTAACTCTATAATCAAACCTATATAAAAGTTACATGAATGTCGATTAACAATTATCCCGACAATCCTTCATCTCTCATATCTGAAACATTTTTATGAATTTTCTCTCTTGTTTCACGGGATGAAAATCCTCTCTAATAATTCACATCTTGAAATCATCATGTCGTGTTACTGCCTCTCTCTCGTTATCTCATTTGGTGACTAGTTTTGGCCTCTTTCGTGCTGCAAGGCTTCCACGAGATTTCAAACATTTCATGACTATCTTAAAAAGGAATGGAGTGCGCATAGTGATAGTGCTGCGACGACGTACGCACTGTAGATGGCTCCGCTGCTGCCTGAAGTGACTGTAACAGAAAGAAAAACGAAGGAAAATTCATTTGAAATGTCCAGTGCTGGCTGACAAATTCGTTCCGATACTTTTTTTCTATTGAGAAGTATTCATCCATCGTTGGATTATTTACATAACTTCATTCGAGTATTATTTACATATGTACTTTTGTTTTTCTGCTAACTTGTATTTAGTAGCTATGAACATATTTTTAAATTCTCATATTATTACTTTTAATGAAATGGTGAATAATTTCTAAACTTTAGAGTGTCTCTGCCAAAAATGTGGTTATGGTGTACGGCCCAGGAGTTTTTATTGTTTAGATATTTCGTGACATCATTTCACATTATGAAATTCCATAAGGGCCATGAGGGTCAGAAGTCTGACGAGAAGTGCCAACCGGGGAAAAAAAATTTCTGAATGTCAGAGAAAAACGGGTGAATTCTGAGTGACGAAACTGATCGAAAAGCTGATTATAAATCCCACGGGAAAAAAATAATCCAAACTCGTAGCTCGAGCGATTGAAAAAGTCAATCAATACCAGCATCAGACACATAAAATCCCTGTATTTATATCACAAAACGTTTCTGGATCGTGTGGGTGAAAAAGAAACTGTGTGCAAAAATACATTGAACAATATATCAACTCGTGAGAAACGATCTCCGATATTTTCTCGCCCTCGGGGGTATACCCTCACCTATACACGACACGAAAAAGCAGCTGTTACATACGACGCTGGGTATATAACCGTCCTGGTCTCTCTCTCTCTCTCTCTCTCTCTCTCTCTCTCTCTCTCTCTCTTTCTCTCACTCCCGTCAGTACGGGATTACAGAGATCGTAATTCTCGAGAGCGCTCTTTGGTGTCCAACCGACGTGCAGTGGAAAAGCCAAATATTTGATCGTACATTGAAAACTGAAATTGACAAAGATAAAGTGGAGTAAAAAAATACAAGAGAAAATTGAATCGTTTTTATGAGAGGAAAGCCAAGATCAAGCATTTGATGGTGGAATAGGCCTAGAAACCTTGTCTGTAATGGCTTAATGAGGCCGGTAATCTGAAATTTTAGATGATTTCGAAGTTAATTTTAGAACTGGCACTTGCTGCAAACGCGTTACGAGACGTTACCTGCCTCCAACTATCACTTACGATTTCCCTATCTAGTCTTGACGGAGATGAGGGCGTGCGACGAGACGAAGGGAAAGGTTAGGGAGCCCCGAAGATGAGAAGGGATGAGACAGAACAGAATAGCGATGGCGTACAATCAAGTGGGTGCTTTCAACCCACTGAGTGCCAAGCCGTAAGACGAGTCGATAAGGATTCTCTGGCTCGGGCATATCACAGGCATATCACGACTTTCACGTACGACTAGCATGAAGTTTACAAGAGAATAAAACGATCCGAATAATAAGGTATGCGAGGCTTTTTGATAACGAGAGGGCATCAATGCTGGAAACTTTGCGGTGTGGGGAATGAATGAGGAGTGGCGGAGGAATGGGATTTCGGGGGGAGACGCTCATGTGAGGAAGATGTATATGAGTAGACGGAAATGGTAACAATTTTGGCAGCACTCGTCGCATGAAGTGTGTGGAGAATTTTCAATCCCACATGGGACCCCCGGCCTAGTGTTGAAACATTATGTCTTGGATGTACGTAAGAGGGTTATGCTCGCAGACTTAATGGAAATATTATGGATTTGATGCATAAATGTAGGAACTTACATACTTGGAATATTTCATGTGTGAGAGGTGCCGTGATGTCACTATTGGGAATTGTGGGAAAATGTTACGACGTGTTGTTTTATTTTTCCTTCCAGAGGTCTCAAGGTGTTTCGTGTGAAGGCTTGAAATAATGAGCTCAAGTTTCTTCAGGCCAGTGATATATGATTCACGATCTGACTAATCAAATGTTCATTCAATTTGTCCCCCCAAACTTCCAGCCCAATAAACTTCCCCTACCATCATGAATCCTTTTTGCCCCAACGAAAAGAGGATTAGTTGATGTGGGATGAGCTAATTCACACAAGAAGTGGAGAGCTCTTGTGTTATCCTAGTGATATACGTCAGTGGTTTACAATGTCTCAAAGTTTCGGTAACATCTAGTCACTCTCTCCTCGCCTTATGTCAAGAGCAACCAGCCCTTTTCCTGTCAAGCCCTCCCAGCTTTCCAAGTTGGAAACAAGCTTCACTACCCGAATCTTTCGGTGGTCTGTTGTATCGCGTCGCCTGTGGGTATGTTCGTCCTTGAGAGGGGCTGACAATCTACCCCCAACACCTGACAATTTTCAGCGGTGAATGACAAAATGTTGTGATTGTAACTTACTTTGGGCGGGCACAGGCTCCCTCAATCCAATTTGCACCTGAATCTCACTCTCGGCCTCATAGATGCCGGGTATTCGGGCAATGCAGTGAATTGTTAATTGATTATTTGAGTAATGGAAAGGGAGGAGATCAATGCTGAGTTCACCCCATTGTAATTGAGATCCTTCTTGGTAAGCTGAGTTACTTCCCATGTTGTATTCACTTTTTTCCATCTGTTGGCTTGCGTTTATGGGACCAATCTGCAACATAATGGGATTAAGATTAAAATACATTGGTAGATGTGGTTGAAATCAGGGGCAGATCTATCAGATCTGATTTCTGATCAGTAACAGATTGAAAATTTACAGCTGTTTGGGTTCGTACTCTAGGATTTGGATTGTTTCAAATCAGGACGACTCTTCAACACTGACCTGACTCTCATTTCTCAGTAGATGATCAGGTTGCGTATTCAGGTTACAGCTGTTTTAAAATTAGGGGTTATCGACCTGATTTTTGCCTGATCTGAATTTCCATTCGAACTATTGACAGATTTTTCTTCCTCACGAATTGAAATTCACAGGTCCTGCATACGTTGAGATAACCTGATCTTCGATGAACCTGATCAGGTCCGACAGAAAATCATTACCCTACCTTACCTGATTTTTCATTCGGAAATCTCTTCCTTTCAACAATCTACGGCGTCTTAAAAAATATCAACCAACATCTAGATAGAATCTTTGCGGATAAGGATATGATTTCATATAAAAAAAACAGATCAGATCCCATTAGCCTGATTTCAGGTAGACTAAAATCAGGTTTTATGGATACATTTCTGAGTTGTACCTGATCTAAATTCCCAATCGGGCTGTTGACCAATCCTGATCTGATTTTTCCTCCCCAGTACCTGATCAGTTTTCTAAATACCGACCAAGTCAGGAATTTTCACAAAAGGGCTAGACGAATTCGCATTGCAATTCACTGGTCTTGAACACATTGAGATAACCTGATCTTTTGCGAACCTGATCAGGTTCAACCACAGTCCCCCCCATCGCAAATTCTCCCTCGAAAATCTCTCCCTCAAAAAAATCTGATTTGTTTCTCGAAAAAATTCCCAACCAACACCCTCAGCACACCACCTGCTTTTGCTCCCATCGTCATAATATTCGGATAATGAGGATATTCCAGAAAAATTTAACCATTGATATAAAAACCCTGACCCGTATAGAAAGGAGTTAAGAGTGGGTAACGGCTAGCCAGCAGTTTTTAGTATGTAACAACCACCCTCGTTTGGGTGGAAAATTTAAATTTCGCTTACGTAAACATCTCACTCATGCAGACACTTGCACACACGTATATAACTGTGTTGAGTGCGTCAGCGTTATGAAAAAGTATATAACGATCGAGCCAACGGTACGGGTAAAAAGAGTTTTTTATTCTGGCAGAATTGTTTTTTCTCCAGCCGAGGCATTTAAATTGCTGCTGAAAATCTGACGAGATTGGCCCGATAGCATCCCACCTTGATATAAATTGCTGTTTATTTGATGGGGACAAAATGATTCAAGTATCATGGTATTACAAATATCAACGGAATTGAAGCCAACGATTCAACAGCGAAATCCATGTACTAGCGTAATTCAATACTTGTTTTCAAAACATTGATGTTAGCAGCGGTTGATGTTAGTGTTTACTCGAATAATATTAAAATTAACCTCGGACGAGGTTATAACGAATTTCGTTGGAAACGAACAGAGGCATGAATATTCAAAGCCTTGGAGAATTAAATTCTGTTTCTGAAATAAAAAATATATGTGTCATTATTTGTGCGAGAATATTTTTTAGTGTTGAAATCAACAGAGTTCGGGTATTCAATCGTTTTTCACTGTTATTTAGTAAATACTGTTATCTACCTCACGTGAAATCGGGACTTTCTGTATTTATCTGATGGTGTGTATTTAATCTAAAAAAGAGTCCGGTGCTGGATATTTCGATTACTATTTGGAAATTGAGGGGGGAATTTAGTATGAATGTGAAGTATTGCTGCTCATAGACTTTGGAAATGGATTAAATTGCATTTTGGAATGAAAATGAAACGTAAACAGGGAACGAGTGTTTGTCGATGATTGCGGTTAATAATATTAATATGGTTTTCGATACTTCCTCGGAGACTCAAACACAGGATTATTTGATGCATGCTTTGCTAGCTTTATAGTCACCATAAATCGAGACTCCGTAAGAAAATACTCGCAATATTTCAGGCATGATATTGAGTTTCGGAGTGATAATTTAACTGATGCAGAGCATGTACCTGATTGAACCTGCTTAGCTTAGATAAATGTGATGCGAACCTGAATCACGGTCAGGGCAGTTTGATCATATCATGATTATTAGTTTCATGATCGTGATCAGACGCATTGAAACATCTAGGCCTGATCGGATATTTTACTGATTTAATGATCAGCCCAATTGTCTTTTCTAGGCACCTGATCAAACATTTCGAATCTTTAGGGCCTGCTCAGGCCCATTCAAAAATGGACAATTGTTGCCCCCCGCAGCCTGATCAGGCGCAATATAGCCCACCCGTCAAGCCAACAATACCAATAAGTAGCTAAGGGTGATGTATTTGCGGACCCGATCAGGTCAGTCATGTGACCACCGGCCTGATCAGGTGCTTGTCATCAGACCAGAAGATGACCTGTTCCGCAATGGAACATAACCTAAATTTCCTGACAACCTCATCCCGAACTGACCCCAAATAAGGTATTCCGACCTGATTCATATTAAAATTCAATAACATCGGATTCATCGGGATAAACTCCCGAAAAAAAATTGACAATCACAACGCTTCCACCACTGTTACTATCATCTCTTTCACATTCAATGAGGCAACTATCCCAAACGATCCCACCGTCCAGCATATCTCAATCCATAAGGATCCTCGAGTCTGCGGCGGCATCGATAGCCGGTAACCCCTCCATTTCACAGTGAAATCGTCTCCCCCGGATACACCAAACACACCGACAGTGGGATTAAATTCAGCTGGTAGCACTATATCCACAATGGGGATTACTTTGCTACCAACATAATACGGAAACCTTCGCACTAGCACAACTACTCCAGTCCTCTTTTGATGCGATGATCGCTCGAAATTCAACACAGGCGATGGTACGTGTATAATCAGGACAAACTTCACCGCTCCCGTAGATGCACTATGGGGGAAACCCTAGAGTTGTACTCGAAACTCGTGAGCACACTCTGCAATTTCAACGCTCACTCTCACCCTCCCCTCCTCTCTCCCTCCTCCGCCCGTCTTAAATTTTGTATGTATACATTTTACGAAACGGCGTTTTGTCCGACGATATAGTGCAAAAACCGGCGCCAAACCCTCTCTCTTTTGTACAATATAATTCACCACTTGGGAAATGCATTTGTGCGCGAAGAACCCCCAACTCCCTCATGGCTCACACGCCCGTTTTGTACCGTTGAATTTATGCCGGCCCGGGTCTCGTGAATTCTCTCAAACGGGCCATTTTTGCCACTGCAGCTCTCCACCTCCCGCGCATTCACATCCATAAGCGCCGGGGAATGATGGCGAGAGTAAACAGAACAAAAAAAGGAAACATAAACGTGGAGTTGTATGGGGGTATATTCAGCATGTCACTGGATGGTAGAACTGACACGCACATAACATCAATGTCTTTTGAGGGGAAAAATGCTTCTTGTTTGTCGGCAAATTTTCGGCATTCTATTTTTTAAATTTTTTTATTGTTCATTTTTGTCATTTCATTCTTCCTTTTTTATTTTTCATTTTCGTCATTCTCTCTTTATGCATTTTTCTTGGAATTTTTCTGATGGTCTTGGGGGTCACGGGAAGGGTCAAAAGACTAATATAAGGTTCATTAGGTTCGCAAGGGCCTAAAAACTCTACACTTTTAAAAGTTTTCGTCTGATTTTTCCGTGCCGAATTCCGGGAATTTTTATCGTGTTCCACTGAAATTTCAGGCAATCTTGTCATTGAAAAATGAAACATTCCATTGATTTTCTGTCCAAATGATTTGGAAATCAATAAAATATTGATTTGTCAGTTCAATTATTCTCTGAAATTTCAGAAAAATCAGGAAAATTCAGGCAAAAATTGAAAATTCATGTTCCACTGAAAATTCAACCAAGTTGTGAAATCTCCATCTCAATCCCACTGAAAACACGGATTTCCGTGAATTCTACTTAAAACTTGAAATTTCATGCCCATTTTTTTCCTTAAATCCCATTCAATGTAACTCTCCCGAGATTTATTCTATCTTGCTTGAAATTTTTAAAAATTTCTAACAGTGTATCTAGACTTTAAAGACTCTGGAAAATTTAAAAAATAGTGCATTGCAAAGATGCCTTCCAATCTTTATCTCCTAGCTTCACGAGTACTCCCCCGGGTCGGATGAACCAGATAAGAAATTCCCTCACGAAAGCCCCTCAGTCAATCGGGATTCTCCAGTATAAATCTGGCCATCGGAATGTATCTAAAACCGGTGGGCAACCTAAACGTCAAGAGTAAAACCTGTAAAACCTTTTTTCGAAACATCACGCCCTCTGTATCATTGGAGTTTGATTGCACTTGAATAGTTATCTCCATTGTATTGCATATCGTCTCTATGTAGAAGTGCTTGGCCAATGCAGCCCTGCAAGCACGAGAGAAGTGGCATGAGTTTGAGCATGGGAAGCTTGGAATCCTCGAAACTTCGTATGCATGCAAATTCGAAATGGTGGGGGAGGGGGTGGGGAGGAGAAATGGGGAAACGAGTAGACGAATTTCAATGTTCAACTCCCTCAAACATTCAAGCTTGTAACGTAGAACACCTCGACGGTTGTAGCTTAGTTGCATTCGATGTTTTGTTTTCTTTTTAAATCGGTGTTTTCATTATATTTTGCACTCGCTTCTTGTTACGGTCTCTATCGTTCCCTTTCTGTTTTTATCACTTAAGGTTTCATCTCGCGTCGAGATTACCTGCCTTTCGCTGAGTCTCGGTGCCATGCAAGCTTCTATTAGGATTTTATGTACACGAGGGGGACTGAAACGAGATTGGGAAGGAATAAAGAAATAGAGTTAGATAAGCATCATTAGGTTTATGATGCCACTCTGTGATCCGGGGGAGCTCTCTTCAACTTCAGATTGAGATTACGGATTGTTGGGCTCGATTGACACGTCGCAGGGATCAATCACGGTGCAGGTACTTCTTTCTTTCTTGTGTCTTCATATGTTTGGGATGAT